CGGATCGGACAGAGTTTCTAACTTACCTGAAAAAGTTCAGATCTTTCAAAATTTAACTTCGTACTTATTGCGGATGCAAATTCCGAAATAAATATTCTTGTCTTCTGATATCCAAACTAGTGCTTTGACACACATTTTAAATTCCAGATTTTAAACTTTAGTAGTTTGAAATCATAGCTGCCGTTGCTTCAAATATTGTTAATGAAACCGATAAAGACAACAAAGTAATATTAATAATAACAGTAAACGACCTGAAGTTAAGTGCTTCTGCAAGCATGAAACATTTTACTGTTTATAATGCTCACTATAGAAATAGCTGAGGCATTCCTCAGAAAAGTTACGTAAACAAGATTAGATATTTAAAATGTTGTTGAGGTATAAGTTTTATGCTCAAAGAGTTTACGTGTTAGCTCATATGCTTGCGCAAAGTTTCGGTATAATTTAGCTGAAGATTTGAGGTTTAGTTCATTACGGCAAACCACGTTAGGGCTATCTGCCTAAGTAAAGGGATGCCTTCGAGAAGGCTTCCTAAGGGAAACTGGCTTGTATACGCGTTACTCATGATAAAAACCTGCGAAAAAGACCATGTAGCCAGCCCATTTACCCGGAATCGAGCCCAGGTCGGAACTACCAGTGTCAGCGATTTTACCACTCGGCCGCTCATAGATCCCGTATCTTAGTCGAAAGAAAAGTATTTGGAATCGTAAAAGAATAAAATTGGTATTACTGAGTCCTCAAATGATATAATATTGAACCTGCAATAAAAATTATATTGATAGTGGATTCACCAGTAACCAAAGCAGCTAAAGTCGCGAGATATATTACGAACAGACTTACATTTTCAATTGGTATCAAGAGTAGTCTAATCATTATTAGTTTTTAATAATAATAGACAATTAAAGTCATATAAAACTGCAAGCAAATATAAAAATAAAATGAGAAGTTTCTGACTAGGTAGAGTCACCTCTTCCGAAAACAATCATAATTTGCCATACACTTTATATGGATATGTCATGTCTGTTAGTGTGCCGGAAAGTGGAACCCTTCACAAAGAAAGTCTGCTGTAAAGGCCTTCCTTCCATCCTCCAGACATACCCGAAGGTAATGCTCTAGTGTTTGTAATTTCCTCCAGAGTATGTCTTCGTCATTAATCTAGAAAGCTTAAATAATGTTTCTAAATCTTACGAGTGACTCTTATGTTTTCAAGCGAAACATTTAAAGCAACTTTTCTGAGGAAACATCGAATGAGCAGATTAGGTGAATATAGTAACCTTGTCTTTTGAAAAGCTCTCGGACGTCGAAAGAAGGATATCCACTTAATAGGTCAAAATCACTGCCCGTTGTTTCGAATTTCTTCGTAAACGTATTGATGAAACACTTATTTCGCTTTTCTTCCCCCACACACATATACAGTTCCTAGATATCCACAGTGTTCTTCTCATAGAGTGCATTATTTTCAGTAATGTTTGCAAGGAACATCTGCTCATCAGTGTTGTAGGAAGCCATACTGAGTGACACTCAATGACTCATTGAAATACTCATACATTGCTGAAAAACAGAAATAAACGCCTGATGAGACAACAATCATTACCTTCTTCCAAAGGCTCCAGATTACTTCTGGGTAGAATAGGCAGAAAATAAAATTGATTCTTGCAGATAGGACTACCTACTAAAACACACTCTGCCATGCAGAAGCTTAGGTTAGATTAGTTTTGTTTTTTAATACAATAAAGCACGCGAGGGCTATCTGCAAACAGCTGCTCTTTAGAAGCGTACGTTTTGTTGCACAATTAAGCGTGTGGGTGACAAGTGTCACCTGCCTTTTAAAATTAAAGTGAATCTAGAATAAGGAAAGTAATTTTTGTACTACTGCCGACACAACAAGCACCAACAATTAAGGTTCAACTATTAAAAGGCACGACTCTAAAAATCAGCATGCAGTCTTGCGACAACTGTCCCTGAAGGACACGGGTCACCCACGCAATGGTTAAGATGAGCGATGCCATCATGGAAAACTTTCAAGAGAAACTAGTTCGTGTTTACGTTAGCACATGGGGGAAAACACAGGAAGTGTCATGTCCTATTCGCTGGTATTTAAAACCAGATCGAACTGCAAGTGTTCAGCTATTTTACCGGTCGGTGTTCATGATTTTACGGCAGTAAGTAAAGCTCATTTTAGACAAAATTTTGTCACTATTTACAGCAAACACAGATTGGTTTGCAATATATTTGCACTGCGAGTTTAATTTTACAACGGTATTTCTTCGAAAAAAGATATGGAAATATTCCTGTAGATAACCATAATTTAGTTTAATTTTTTTAAATAAAACGTTAGAATTTTTTGGATAAATGGTTGCATCTGTTCGTTACATCTTCCAATACACACATACGCACAGCGACGAATTCAAAAATCTGAGTTACTAATATTCTCATAGGCCTACTTTATGAATGCGTTGCGTCTAGGATGCATTTTTAAAAGGAAGAATATCTTATCTTATAGAGCATTTGTAATTATAAGCCTGTTCTTCACATAGTTTACAAGAATACGTTGAATGATGTTCATGGTTCCAAGCATTATTACAGTAATTAGATGGCAGACTTATTACTAAAATTTAGACTTAAACCAGAAAATAAAGGAACATTGCTTGAAACTGGCTATTTTAATTTATATTAAGTTGCATTAGTAGAAGAGAAGTTAGAAGAGGCCATTGTACTGTAATAAATTAATTTAAACTACAAACTTATAAATTATCTTCTCTAAGCAACAAAATTTGTAATTCGATCTGTACTCAGATCGCAAAAAAAGACATTAGGATTTTTTTGGAAGCAGGAGATGTGAAAACTGAGCAACGCCTTCTTCGTGAATCGAACCGCGGACCTCTGGAATCAGCGCTTAGCGTGCAGACCCCTACACTGCGAAGGCGGGAGAAATACCATACATACTCTCCTTCTAAAGGGCGACTGTGGTTTTTAGCGGACCCAATCGCCTGGCGCCTTCACCGGGAATCGAACCACGGATCTCTGGAATACGCGCCCAGCTTGCAGACCACTCCACTACGAAGTCATTCTAAGAAGACAGGAGAAATACCTTATTGGATATCAGTATGTCATAGCTTTTCGTCAATGAAAAGCATGCAGTATTCAGGAATTGACGGATTTCGCAAGTATTAGCAACGGCATATAGTAGTTCTAGTTCTATATGTATGTAAAGATTTATATCAGTTAGATTCGCCTAAAAATGAAAGGAAAATTACAGATAAAACGCTTCATATGCTAGTCGTGATCATTATGAATTTCGCGTCTGATGAAACACGTGATATTTTATGCAAGCCAAGAGCTTATTTAGTTTCTTAATAAGGCACTTCTATATGTCCGTTTCTGAGCAAATACTGTGATGGCCACATCTTCAAATGGATATGTGGATTAGAGTTAATCAAATTTTGGGATATTTTATGACCCTTGAAGATTTCTATGGTAAGTATAGTAAACATGACTGGGTCTCTGAATGTCTTCTTTGTTTTTTGCTGTAAGAGACGGCCGTAATGCGGCTTTATGGCTAAATATCGAGTTGACTAAATGACTTAAAATAGATGAGTCAAATTAAACCCGTAGCAGAGAAGTCAAAATAAAACTAATGTTTATTTCCGATCACAAACTGTCTAATTTAGTTGAGCTAAAACTCACAAACCATGGATTATTGAGTAATGGAGTGTTGTCATGCGATTTGATGAGTCTAAATTTTGCCTATACACAAATGACGCAAGGTGTAATAAGAAATCTAAGATGCATTCATTTCTGAATGTGTTCTAAACAATCTTATGAGGTGGATACTGTGAAATAGATTTAATGATTGATGACCTAACCCACTAATGAAAGTGTACAGAACGATGAATAAGAATATATGCAGAGAAATTTCAGATAATCATGGGATCTCATTTTCACATTATTCCTCAGAGTTTATTAAAAATTTCCTCCAGTTTAACAGAATTAAAGTTCTAGGGCTCGTAGAAGTAAAATCATTATAAACTGATGGGAAGATTGCGGTAGAGCAGTGGTGCTTATGAATTTAGTTTAATTAGCCATGTTTAAATTCAACGAGAATGTATGCCATTACGCTGAATAAAAATCAAAACTAAAACAGAGCAACCTTTCTTTTCAATAAATTCTCAGACCAAATGTTCTTAGAATAATCGAAACTTGACGCGATGTAATTAGCATTAAATATGCATTTATGAAAGTGTCACAAATTTTTGTTGTAAAAGTCACATTTCTATTTACATGATCACAGCTATTTTAATGCATACAAATAAATTTATTTTTAATTGCCTTGTATTATGTTATTGCTAAGTATTCAGTTTCACTTCTTTCTTTTTCTTTTTGTGTGCGCTTTGTCAAGATCTTGATATGCAGGTAGGGCACTATATCATCTATATGTAATCAATTGGTTTGTTTCATTTGATTATGACAAGCACCCGTCGGCTATCTACTTAAGAGAGATCCCTTCGTGGAAGATTTTCGGAGAGAAACTGGCTTATATGCACGTTGTACTTTGGGGAATATCACAAAACCTCTCATACAGACCGTTCGCAGGAATTGGAACAAGGGCTGAACTACCAGTGTTCAGCGACTTTACCGCTTGGCCACTGGTGGGTTCTATACATAATCGGAATCGAAATTGGTGAATGAAAAATGAAATCTTTAAAAGAAATTGCATCAATTTTTCCCTAAAAAATTAAAACCAAAGCTGATACTTCCAAACACTGTGTAATGCAAATAGGAGTTTCGCGGTACAATGAAGTAATAAATATGCTAATTTTTAATAGCACTACTGTTTTAAAAAAGCAAATATCATTATATTTATTTACAAAATTTTGTAATAGATATGGATATCAAATATTATTATTTTACTAAACAGAAGTTATTTTTTATGCTTCTAAATCTTACTCTGTTCAATTTTTGTTATTTGTTGTTTTATTTGTTTGTTTTTTGTGTTCCCACAGGTTCAGTTAAATCGTTTTAAAGTCAAACTTACCTTACGACATGATTCTGCTGATGAATACAATGTAACACTCGCAAGTGATGATGAAGATTTGGAAGAAGACCATACAAATAAAGCCGAGGATGAAACTGAAGTTGTAACAGAGGGTATTGGTGCTGCTGTTGATCCTGCAAGGGTAGTATTCCAAGAAACTACTATTACTAGTGAAGTTACTCTTCATGTAGGTCGACGAAAATCTGTCCGTACACTTACTATTACAACATCTGTTCCCCTAACTGTAAACCCTACTGATATACAAGACATCCTGGCATCTCAATCAACTGCAATGGACAGAGAAAATACAGCCTCAGATGCTTATAATATAGTTACGAGAACATTTACTACCACTGAAAGAGCTTTGAAAACATCAGTAGTCCCAATATTTGATGGAAAACAAACAACGTTTCATACGGTCACTGAAAGTTTCTTTATTATGAAAATTATAACAGCTTATAGAACATTACCCCCAGGAGATGCGACAGTTCTAGAGTCTATACTTGATGAACCGGAAATTAGTGCAACTACCTTAGAGGTGGCAGCTAATATTCAACCTTCAGTAATTCAATCACCCCCTCCGGATCAAATATCCACAGAGAGTTTAGTGCAGCCATCTATAACACTTCCATCTGGCAGTAATAACAATCCTCAGCTAACAAACCCTTTGTTATCCTTGGGCCATGCATTATCAAATAATCCATTAGCTGCAGTCTATTTAGGACTCCAACAGCTTAATGCACAGATGACTCTATATTCCACTGTTACAGATACATCGACTTATGTGACTACAGAAACATTTTACAGTACTAAGACTATACGATTATATGATGGAAGATCAACACGCTACAGAAAGATTTCAGAACCTGTGTCAACGAAGAAAAGTACCGTAACAACTACTATAACATCTGTACAACCGTATCTTAATACTCATGCTTTACAACAGCAACAGCAATTACAGAAACTTATTGCAGCTACCCAACTACAGCCACAATATAGTACTTTAACATCTACTTACACTACAGTAACAGTAACTTCAAGTTTGAGTACACGAATTTACACTCTTATTTATAATGGGTTCAGTACTAAATTCAGGACAGTAACAAGTACAACTACTTACCCTACAACAGTCGTAATTACTAGCACTACTAAAGTGCCCATAACCCCAACACAAGTTAATGTACCTTTTGTTTATCCCTACTCCGCATAAAAAGACTATCTGCAGATATATTCAGAATTATATGATTGACTAATAGTCAAGTCATTTTGTTAAACACGAGTATTTTACTCTCTAATGAAAAAAATAAGACTATAGTCAACATTTTGGGCTGCAAATATCCCCAATTTTTGGCATATTATTTCAACTGAAAAAGGATAATTTTAAAGTAATTTGTTCAACAGAGAAAAATTTATCTTATCTAATCGAGTACTATATTACTTATTCAAAAGTAGTTTAAAGCAAGATATGTGTACGTGAATACAAAATAACTTACAATAACAAGAAAATATAATAGTTTTCTTTTGTATAATTACAGTTCGTGGATATCACTGCCAACTGAGGATACTGTTATTTGATTGCAAAACTGTAAATAAATTAATTCCTAAAAAGCTCAAATATTAAGAAATTCACTAAATCACTTGTTTCTAGGTACTGGACGTATAAGAAATTCTCAAGAATAATATTCTATTTTTCAGGTTGAAGTAATATTAATTTATGATGCGGAAATTGTTTTCAAAATGAAATTAAAAATTAGAAGAAACTATCAATATGCTTTAAGTGTGTTTCAATGTATGCGCGATAATCATTATTAGAAGCAAAAGAACTTGTTTGTTAATTAATTATATTAAAGTAAAGAGCATTTTATATTCCCCTCGTATTATATGAAAATGTTTTACATTTAATTGTATAAAATAACTATATATTGAAACTCTAACTTATTAAATCTTCATTAGCGTTCAGAGACATGTTTAATAATCCATTTACAGAAAGTCTTTTTGTTTAATTTGCTTTTACTTTCTAAATTAGGATAGTATTTTACAGGTTGCTTTTCAATGTTTGCTTACATTCAGAACCTCCGTATTTCTGCAGAGCGAAGATTATGCTCTTTCTAATCAAATATTTGAACCAGTAACAAACAATAAATATTTGACACCAAAACTTCATCCTATGTCAATTATTTTTTTTATGTTACTGAAGTATTATTATAGTCCGTTATCACTTCCGTGTTGCAAACGAGGTAAAAGTGCTATTGCTGTTAAAAATCTTTCAGAAATTAAAACAGCACAATTTATGATTTGTTCTTTCAAGCTGCATACTTAACTAACTAACGCAAAATTCTGTTTAAAAACCTGCATTAAAGAAAACATTTCTATTACGTTTTCCTAATCGCAAAAATACCTTGAAAATTTTCGGCTAATATTGCTCTAAATCTTAAATAAAATTATTATTAGGATTTTTCCAAATTATCTAGGACTTACAATGCAAACATCTTACATAAATAACATTAAAAATCATAATGCTTCCAATTTAAAATAAACAGTTCTCGCGCAAAAATTGGTTACTTGAATGACAGAGAATAAGTGCCATGCAAAATAAAATGTTTATAAGTAATTATCAAAGGACTATTATAGAAAGTAATAACTGCTTGTGAATATTTTTGCATGCACTTGATGGTACATTCATTCATCTTAAGAAACCAGCGATTTTAAGATTTTCTATTTATGCCTGACTTTATGTAATGAATTTATGTAATGAAAGCTACTACTAAATTAATAACCATATATTCGTAATTAACCTTTAACGCAATATACTGTAATTTGTGGTGAAATATTGGAGCATATAATCGATTTTTTAAGCCACGTGACTAGGAAAATTTGCTTTTGTTTCCTGCATAATCTGCAGATGAAAGAACCAGTAATGTATTATTCTCAAAGAGAGGTTTGAAGACTCGTATCATTTCAGTATTAAGTCCTGAAAAAGAAAAAAAAAAGACACAAAAAGGTAGAACATTGCATTTTTTTATCTTGAAATTAATATTTTTATTAATATTTCTTATTTAAGGATATATAATATGCATACTTTATAATTTGCTAAAATCCTTAACTGCGCGTTTCCAAGAAAGTAACTATTTTCAATAGTTCTATTCAAAGTAACTATCTTCAACTATAACAAGTAAAAACCATTTTCAGTGATTTTAAAGTGTAGGTTTGAAAGACCAGTTTAAATTGAAAAGTTAAAATTTTCATGAAGTTGTACCAGTTGATTTAATATGGTGTTTTTAACCTGTATTAAAAATCAGCTGTCAAGTGCAGCCATTCATGTTTAATTTTCTTTCATGCATTTGGTTAAGAATCCAAATTCGCTTTAATTCCTTTGCAAAATTAATATTTTATCTGTGCAATTTCAGTTTTACGACTTTAATATGAATACGGTATCAGATACAGTAAAAAAAGGGCTGTATAGAAAATTCAGTTTCTTCCCTTATGGAAGATAATCTTCCAAAATCGATGTACCTTTAGTTGATGATCTTGACTGATGATTTCCATTATTGGATAAAAATTTTCACGACCATTTGATGTACATTTTCTACAATTAAAGTTAACTGAATATAATTTATCAGTATTTTAATTAGCTACTGATAAAATTAGATATATTTGATTAGATAGGGTTAAAGCATTTTATTTAGATATAAACACAGATAAAAAAATATCATTACTTTAAAGGGAATGAAAATTATGACACAATGATGTTCTAACTCTATTATTTACATGCATTTTCTTTTCTTCATTCTTTCTCTTCAATCTTTTCTTCAATTTTCTTCTTTTTTCATGCAATTTGCTACTACTTTTAGAGAGTTGGAAAGCTTAAAAACTTCATAATGATTATGCAATTATTTATTTTTTATGTAACATAAAAAAGCATTTCAGACCATCATACCATCAAAGTTGAAGTTAGAATTGAGTTAGAATTTGCATTTCTATTAACTATTATTACTTGCGACAATTTCTTAAATTCTATTTAGGACCTTTGAAATGTGTTTTAAAGAGTCACTGTTTTTTCTGGAATATCTGAAAATATTTTGTTCTTACTACTTGCATTTGAACTGGTTATACGTTTCACAATATGCTATATAAGTCAGTAAATTTCCCTTATGTAAAATATGTATATTAATGTGAAATTTTAATTTTTAATAAAGATATATACAAGTATTTTTATGACTTCGTATATTAATAGAATCATCATCATTTTAAACACATATACCTCGTTTTCCAGTAAGGTACAGCTCTAAACATCTAGACCAAATCATAACGTATCAGGATAACCAAATTCTCTGTTTTCTGTAGCCCAGCTATTCATTTAGTAAAATACATGTAAGGGAATTTTATTTTTCATTTATCTTAATTTATTTTAGTAAAAGTTATACTGACAAAAAATAATTTTCTACTTTACATAATTAAAACTACAGAACACTGTTTTAGTGTGTGTGATTATGGCAAAGTCTCGAGGGCTATCTGCCCAAGGGGAGGGATGCCTTCGTGGAGGACTTCTAAGAGCACCTGCTGTATACCGTTTACACTGGGAAAACCACGAAACGAAATGCAGCATCTGGTCGCGGGGTTCGAGCTTCGGACCGAACTACCAGTGTTCAGCGACTTTACCGCTGGGCCGCTGGTGGGCCGAGCACTGTTTTAGGAAAAGTAAGCAATTACATAATTTTTTATTTCCCATCTCTATTTCAAATTAAATTAAACAACAAAAATTGTTTTTATTTACATAGGGCCTGAAAGTTAATAAAACATAACTAGTCTATAAAACAGCACATAATTTCTTTTCCATAAATATTCACAGCACATCTATTAAACGAGCTTAGTTAATCTTGAAAAATCGATAATGTTTATTAACTAGAAAAGAAATTAGGTAGTTCAAGAAAAACATTTAAATGTAAACTGCAGAACACAAGCAAATTATGATGATGCACCGCCAAGCCTAGCATGTATATAGTCACATTATAATAAAAACAGCTGGTACTGTTGTCACAAACAAAATCTGAGCAGTTACATAAAAGTGTATGAATTAAGTTCAGGAACATGAAAAGAGTTTGAAATAATAGAACTGAAGTTCGTATTTTTAACCAAAAATTTATATGGTGTACTCATTCATTTGAATTAATTTAGTATACTTTCAATAAACATATGATGCATGCGTTATGTAATTTTTCCATATTATTTATGTAAAATATTAATTTTACTTGGCATTGAAAGAATGGCAAGAGCGGCAGATAGCTGTAGTTCTCATCTTTGGATAAAAATTTTGAATTCATAGCAACAGATGACACATGTTTACGCAATATCATATCTGAAGTGAAGCTACCATTTTTATAAAACAATAACTGCATTTTTATCCCAAATTTAAATATGCAGTATGAATGGTATTTTACTGATGACTGGATATATCAACGAACAAACTTATGTATAATGATGCCAAAGCACGTTACTTCTTAAAACGTGGGGGAAATAAAATTATCTTTTTCGATTTCGGGGAGTGCTGATGAGCATTAGCTAGACAGTTAGAGCAATCGATTCCTGGGCCAGCTTGAAAACAATAATGTCCTTTGCATTTACCTTTCTGAACGTATTTGTTACAAAAACAGTCTATGTAACTTTTAACTTTATGTTGGATAGCAAATATGTTAAAACCTGGTCTAAATGATATTGATACAAGCAAGATGATTTAACTAGTGATAAGTTTATTCTAGTATGTTCTCTGCCACTGTTAATATACCTTCTCTTCCTTTACACCCTAAGTTGCATAGACAGAGAAGGCGCTAATTACATCGTGTAACGTATTCTCGTTGATTCATGCTAGAGCAGGTTTTAAAATTCACAGCCCGCCAAGTAGGTATAGGCCAAGTGGTTAAAACCGCAGAAACCTAGTACTTTGGGCTGGATTTGAATCCCGATGAATGGGCGGGATGTACAGGATTTTTATGGCTTTTTCCGCATACAAAGTAAACGAGCCAGTTTCCCTTGAAATTTTCACCACGAAGTTATCCCTAATTGAGTTGAATAGTTTGCAGTAATGCACTATACAGCGTCCCTTTTCTGTGGGTATGCAAGCCAATAATGCTTCAATTCTTCACAATCTGAAATGCCGAAAACAGTGGTAAAACAGTCTTTTCTTGCCTGTGGAAGATGTGGTATTCTTATCATATATTATCAAACATCTGTAATTCAATATATAATAATAATAATACAATACATATAAACTAATAGTTAAATTATTTTCTACGATCTCTGTCCAAGTTCGTAAACCTCAGTCCCTATCTCATGAGGAGAATTAAGGTTTAACGATTTTTCATCTGCTTCCTGGAGTTGGGAATTAACCGAACTATTATCTTTGTCACATTCGACTGCATTTGAAGTTGCTTCTTCTATATCAGCTTCTGTATCTTTTCTCTATGCTTTCATTCTCATTTACATGCATTTTTTCAAATATTTGATTTATATTTGCAAGTTTTACGACACTATCTTTTATTCCTTGTTTATCTTGAAAATTGATGGATTTTTCCAAGAATCAGTTAGTAAGAATTTTATTTCAATTTCACTACAATAGTTCACTTTATTCCCCTTATCATAACATTGCATATTCATAATCACCTTGCCATCTTGCGTTTTCTTTAAAAAGTTTAATGCGCTTTCCTGTAGTGATATTTTCTTCAACAAACCCATGTTACATTTTCTCTGTTGAGGATCCGGTAAATATTTTCTATCCATGTAAAATATACGCTTTGGCTATATAATAATATACAGTATTCAACAATGACATTATGAACCGACCAGCAGCCAAGCGGTAAAGTTGGTGAATAGCGGTAGTTCGGTGCGCTGTTCGATTCCCAGCGAACAGGCTGGCTAAATGGGCGTTTTCGTGGTTTTCCCTATGTGTAACGTCTAAACCAGCTAGTTTCCCCTCGTACACGAAGGCATCCCTTCCATTAGGCAGATAGCCCTTGAGTCCTTTGCCGTAATCAAATAAACCAAAGCACACAACCAATGACATTATGCAGGCAAAAATTATGACTGAAAAAGGTTATGTATAAGGAATGATAAAAAAGTAACAGAAAAAGTTAAAATTCAACTATCTAAGAAGTATACATAGTAGCGTGATGCGGCCTACAGATATGCAGAGAAGGACATACAATGTTTTGTATGCCAGAAAAGTTACATTTTTACTTGAATTCACTGAAGCATAGTAAAGATCAGCCTACCTTATTGGTCATACTCAAAGACGCTATTCCTCATCCTGTGACAGAAATTACCTCTAAACCCTCATCGATGGTGTGCAGAGTGTCATATCACGTCTGACGATCCATTCCCGTGAATGTCAGGCATCATACTGGGCAATTGTATTTCCAATTGCTTTGCGAACTGTATTGCGCTCTGTAAAACTTCTGACACAAATGAAGCATCAGCTATCGGTGAAGAAAGTAACTACTCTGGCACTAAAATCTTTCGTTGTTAAGAAACATCAAATATATTTTTGTGATTTGTCCTGCCTTGGATTCAACATGGGTGTTTTAGTTTTTAAGTGTCGCTAACATTATTACTATGAATGTCCTTATTTTTCTTCATTATTGCAAATTAATCTAATGGAGATGGATCTGCACTTTCCACGCCTCGAAATTTCATACATGATGAAAATAATAACATACTTAAATGCAATATTCCAAAACACCACTTCTGTAAAATACGAAAAGAACAGCCAGTCTCATTTTTCAGAAATATTCTTCTAACCGCAACATTTTTATATTGTTTTTCAGGCTTATGTGGCTTTTTCCCCCAAATCTTTTTCTGTAATTCATTAATAGATGTTTTTTTCCACTAACTATGCGTACTTTTTTGCAATAAAAATGATTTCAGATTCATATTGAGTAATTAACTGTGTAAATATTAAAAGTTAAAATTAGTGTAGGGTAATTTTTCCCCTCTTGTGTGTGTTTCGGCTCCTGTGTAAATCGAGAACTTGAATATCTATACACACCTTCTAACCGAGGTCATTCAGTACACCCAGGATTTCCTCGGTTGGAAATAAGGCTAGATTCACAACCAGGGACCTCGCATCCATGTAGAAAATAAATTTGAGCCACATCGGAGCAATCTCCCAGGTATGATGACTGGGAGATTTTTCTGCGTAAAAATGTGTTCGAAATCTCTAAATCCGTCGAATAAAGTGGTTCCTCGCTTCAGTGAAGTAAAACAGTATGTTCTTCCTAAGGGTGCTTGGAGTGAGCATGCAGTTCCCAGATATGGTCAATCAATGTATTCGTGAAGTTTATTTAAAAGGTCTTGTATTTATTCTAGTGTTTAAAATTTAAGATCATTAAGATCATACCTAGTTTAGTGTACGGAATTATAGCTATTGTTAAAGAAAAAGTAATTATTTTAAAATGGGTAATGTATTCTTTTAATAATAAAAAATATATTCTTTATAAACAGCTATTTTTAATGAAATATCTGAAACATTTACATAAAGAACATAAATAAGTGCAAAAAGAAATAATTTTAATGCAATAGCTTATCGTAATGAAATTACTAAAAAAAAATATTCTAGCATGAAACTAAGCAGCTTGTAGGGTTTATATTTATTTTAACTACATTTATTTAGTTTAAACTTCTTTCCGTCAAGCCTTACTTTCCCGGAATGCCAATGCCAGAGTAGTAAATTTTAGTAAACGGCGCAAGGATTCAATTATCCGCGGAAGTATTCTGGTTAAATAACAGGAAACGAGCAAATGTTGTTCTTACTTCACGAGCGCGGAGGTATTAGACAGAAATTGAGAACCCCCGTTTCGGCCTGTTGCCTTGCCTCGAAGTTGTTAATCGTTCAACGTGATATTCAAAGTTTGCTGAATTAGGCAGCGGTATTGTAAACGCGGTGAGGTTAGTTACTTTTAGAGAGCCTCGTAGTTAGAGTCTTGTATATATTTTTTTCAGTTTTTAATTTTTATTTTACCGCCGGGTCGGCGTAGTTTTGTAGCGTCAGGAGCACGCATTGTAATTTCTTAAGTTTATAAAAAGGACTTAACCCCTTATCAGACTCTATTTTCCAGTTTCAACAGGTACCTCTTGGTTGCGTGCAAGTTGGAGGCGCGCAACTCTACAAGCTTAATTAAAAAGTAAATTCTGTGGATATACGAAATTAAAAATAGTAA